GAGCTCTTCAAGACATATGTGATGCCTTCTCCTCCAAATTTTAGTGGAACTTTAGAACAAAAAATACTCTGTTAAAGGATTTTTTGGAGGCCAAATATTGTAAGAGAGCTCACCCGGTGGCTAAAAAATGCACTCATGGTCAGTCTCACTCCTGGAAGAGGATGATGGATATCAAGAAAATGGAAGAATCATATATCTTGTAGAAGATTGGTAAAGGTCTAGTGTCCATCTGGTGGGATAACTGGACTATATTGGGGAGTCTTGCTAACTTGATTCAACTTATTGGTGCTTCAAAGCATATCAGGGTACAGGAGTTTATCTAGGAGGGGGCATAGAGGTATGATAAACTGTTGGAGGTTCTACCTGTTAATATGATTAGCTATGTTCTGGAAGTGCAAATTAATGAATACATGGAAGATAAACCTATCTAGATTCATGAGAACTCAGATGTCTTCACTTGCAAATCTGCTTGGCAGATAAGCAGGAAGAAGAAGGTTGAAACTTTTACAAGTAAGAATATATGGCATAGAAAGTTACCTTTCAAAATCTCTTTTTTCATGGTGAGACTTTTGCATGCAAGAATACCAACTGATGATGCAACCAAGAAAGTTGGAATTACAACTCCATCTATGTGTTGTTCTTGTACTAAACATGAAGATGAAACAACCACATATCTTTTCAGTTACAGTCAAATAGCAAGACATGTATGGTCTTATTTTTGCAGGACATGTAGCATCAGTCCTATTATTGGGCACACTAGACAGATCTTGATGAATTGGTAGTTAAGGAAGCCTTCCAATGGGGTTCAGGAAATGCTCTTTCAATGTTTTCCTTCATTGATATGCTGAGAGATTTGGAAAGATAGATATTCAACTAGATTTGAAGGTAAACATATGTCTGGATGGCGTGTAATTCAACAGGTCACCAATTGGTGCATTCTAATTCTGAGAGTTCAATTCCCTACTCTTCATCTCCCACAATTATTGGTTGACAAGTATAAAGTTACAGAGAGGGTTCAACAAACAATACAGTCACAAGAAATAAGTTAGAAGAATCCTGAGAGAGGTTGGGTGAAATTAAATATGAATGGTTATAGTAAAGAAAATCCTGGTTCCATTGGTGGTGGTGGGATTGTTAGAGATCATAAGGTCGGGTTGATTGTGGCTTTTGCTGACTTCTGTGGCCATAGTAGTAATAATTTGGCTGAAATTAAGGCAGTTTTACAAAGTACCAATTTGTGTAGGAGTTGTGGTTTCTTAAAGGATGTTGTGAAATTAGATTCCATGTTAATCATCAACATGATTAACAAGAATATGAAACCACCATGGCAAATTTCTCATGTCTTGGAACAGGTTTGGAGTATTGCTAGCATTGGAGAGTTTACTTCTCTCCATTATTTTAGAGAAGAAAATGGTATTGTTGATCAGTTGGCAAACTTAGGTGAGAGGAATAATAATCAAGTTATCTTCACAGAAGTTGTCTCTCTTCCTCGAAAGGTTAGAGATTCCTTGAAGTTAGAGCAAGAGTGCCTTCAAAATTTCAGATTCAAACCAAGAAGAAATCATTACACTACTGATGACGTCATTACTTGATAGAATAGTATTTGAGGCTATATTAACATATCTGGAGGTATCCAAAACTTGTATAGAAGTTTCCTCTAACCCCCAGTTAAGCTTTTGGAACATAGGTACATTAGATTGGTTTACACTAATCTACATTATGCTAAGGAGGCTAAGGTTTATGTCCTCCTCCTTGTAATTATAATTTTTGCTACATAGAGGTTGGAGTCGTGCATAACTCCTCCATTATAATGATGGACCTTTGATTTTAAAAAAAAATTATATCCATCTCCATCATTTGCACTTTTTTCCTTCTTAATTTTAATTGACATATTAAATGGAAGTTTAATTGCATTTAGGTTTGTCATAACAGTCATTTATGTAACTTGCTGCAAGTTTTTTTCGTCAAAAGAAAGATGATAAAATTAACTAGTAACAATACAAACAAAGTTAAGTACCATTGAGTCAACTTAAATTTCCTGGTTTGGCTAAATAAGTACAAGTGCTATTTGAAAATAAAAGACAGAATAGCGTGATAGATACTTGTACTTGTATCGTTTTGACATCTTGATCCCTCTATTTTGCGAAGTTTTATCTAAGCACTTGTATGTATCCAAGCAGAGTATTTTAAACACCTCATTGTAAAGACTATGATATGTGTTTCTCACTTGCTTGATGGGAATGATACATCATATCTACATTACTTTCCATGTCATTTTTTATTTTTGTCAATTAAGAATTCCATTTGAAAAAATAAAATTAAACCCTCCTGTTTCATGTTCTTGCACCCATTTTTGGGTCCTTTAAACAATGCTTCAATCAGCCCACTAGAGACAATGGCTTATCTGCACATTTTTTCCAAATCTAAATGGACTGAATTTACAAGATATTAATTGATACTTACACAAATATTCGCAATCATTCCACCGTTCTCCGGCAACTTTCACCAGTCTTACCCATTCTTAGAACACTAGTGACCATTGGTGGTGGTGGGACCTGTTTGCAACTAATTTTCAACATATGAAAAATAAACTGCAACCACAAAATAAGAGAAAAATATTTTTATTAATCAATTGTGAGTACAATTCTGTTTTTCCATTGATTCTTCTCTCCTGATTATCTCAGTGATTCGAGGGCTGAAGCCGCGTATTTCTCGAATGTAGGATGATGCAAACCTCTTGGGGATATATTTGATCTCCAACTTCTTGAACTATTTGATTGTCAAGAAGTATCCGGCTATATTTGGGGATATATTAAATCTCCAGCTTCTTGAACTATTTGATTGTCAAGAAGTATCTGGCCAAATTTTGATCTCCTTGTGAATATCTCAAGAGTTTATGGGATTTTGAGACACCTCTTCAAGGGAATATGTATTCCTTTATATAGGTGTGAGTTATGGTTTAGGGTAGAGTAACCTCCAAGAAACCCTAATAGACTCCTAGGATTTCAAGAGTCCTGTAGCATCTTTAATTTAGGATTTGGCTTGATCCTTTAAAATTTCAGTGTCTACAAATGCCCCCTACTTCAAGGTTTGTCAGGGTGTAGGCTTGCCGAAAATTTAAGACGATACTTGAAGTACTCTACCATCGTAACAAATGATTTTGAAACTTGAAGTTTTCGATTTACAAGAGAAAGAGATAAAGGGAAGAACTGGTCCCACTGGGCGTGCCAATTTGTTTGCAATAAATTATTTGTGATACAAAAATAAATTGCAACCACAAAATAAGAGAAAAATATTTTTACTAATCAATTGTGAGTACAATTCTGTTTGTCCATTGATTCTTCTCTCCTAATTATTTCCGTGATTCGAGGGTTGAAGCCGCGTATTTTTCGAATGTAGGATGATGCAAACCTCTTTGGGATATATTTGATCTCCAGTTTCTTGAACTAATTGATTGTCAAGAAGTATCCGGCTATATTTGGGGATATATTTGATCTCCAGCTTCTTGAACTATTTGATTGTCAAGAAGTATCTGGTCATATTTTGATCTCTTTGTGAATATCCCAAGAGTTTATGGGATTTTGAGACACCTCTTCAAGGGAATATGTATTACTTTATGTAGGTGTGAGTTAGGGTTTAGGGTAGAGTAACCTCCAAGAAACCCTACTAGACTCCTAAGATTTCAAGAGTCCTGTAGCATCTTTAATTTAGGATTTGGCTTGATCCCTTAAAATTTCGGTGTCTACATACATTATGCAACTATTTGAGTATTAAATAATGAGTAGAGTAAAATAATATCTTAATAAATTCATTTGAATGGCAAATATGAGATACTACACATTTGTATCAGAAATTTGGTAAAAGAAAAATTATGTGCATTAACAAGGTATCAAAGCTCTAATATCAGGAACCTCTTGATAATTTAGGGAAGGAATAATTTGTCGACCAACATAAAGTTGAGTAAGGGATAGTGGGGTAACAGAGGAAAATCTAAGATACATTTAGAACAAAAGTGATATTTTTGTTCAGAACGTGAAAGGATTTAAGGAGTAAATAAAATGTAGGAGAGCACTTGCAGTGGATTTTTTGAAGTTGTGCAAACAGTTAGCTAATTGAAAGAAATGGAGGTGAGGAGAGAAAACAAAGGGAAATCACAACAGATGAGGCAAAACGCTAGTTTTGGAGAAGAAAACAAGATTAGGCCTTTTTGTGTGCGAATTGGAGGCTATTAGGTCGGGGCTGAATGGGTAGAGTAAAAGAGAAGATGGTTAGGCCGTGTAAAATCATGGCAGGTGTCCTTAAAAATGGGTCTGCGATGCAGGGGCATAAATATTAAAATGTATAATGGCAGGGGTAGATAGTGAAGAATAATATAACTGAGGTGACCTATAATTAATTTCTGATAGTACAGGGACACATCTAACCCTTTTTTCATATTTATTTTAATATATTTTATTTTTGGAGTGTTGGTGGAAGAAAATTTTTGATTTAGAAGCTTTAACCACCGAAAAAAATGATGGAATCATAAAAAGGGGAAAATGGAAGAAGATGGTTGGAGACGAATTGATAAGAAGGGATGCACAAAGGAGAAAATCTTATGGAAGAGAAAGGGGAAGGGAGGGATCTGACGAAGAAAAGAGAAAGGGAGGGGGAGAACTAGGAGGGTAAGAGAGGGGAGTTGTGTTATATTTTTTCTTTTCTCTTTCATTATTTTTTGGTTGTCTTCTTTTTTTATTTTTATTGAAGTAAAATCATTAATTCAATGAATTCATGTACCATATGTGCGTATAAATCACGCGCTTTGTCCACCTCAACCATATAAACACCACATAAGCTCAGTCAATGGTCAGACGCGTTTAAAATACTATATTTCAACAAGTACGAGTGCTTAAATGAAACTTTGCAATATAAAGGGACCGGGATGTCAAAACGGTACAAGTACAAGTGTACCAGCCTTTTTTGCCAAATAAAAATAAGAGGAGAAATATACTAGAGGCAGATTGATTTACCATAACGCCCGCTTGTGGCTTCCTTCAGAAAAAAATTAACATAGGTAGATTGAGATCTTGCTGCAGGGAAAATTGCACGAGCTCAGGTAAGAGCTGAGGTACAAAACCTGCAAACGTTTTACAATCCAAGGACGCTAAACCTAAAACAAGGAAAAACTGCGATTGATATTGCTGTACAAAATCATGCATCTCCTACAACTCTGATTAGCTATGAAGATAATTACACTGAGAACCCTTTACACATTGACCGTTCGTATTATATGGACAGGGCTTATTCCTTTTGAAGAATCCTCCAGAGGAACTGCCATGCCCTCTACTGCCAAAAGACGACTGCCTATTCCAACGTCCAACATTGTAACCTGAGTTACCACCACGAGAACCCTCGTCCTTCTGACCTGAGAAGTTACTCCCATGACGTCGGTGTTCATTATTTCTCGCGCCCTGACTTCCAGTAGATGGACGCCAACCTTGATTTGCATTTGCATCTCCTGGTGGCTGTGATGGTCCTTGGACAAGAGTTCCAGGATTTCCCATTCCAGTAACCCACCCATTACTAGGCGTAGGCCCAGGAACAGTTGATCCCATATTCACTGTTGGAGCAACCCAACCTTGATTTGCATTACCAAGTGACAATCCTTGGACCATAGGATTACCCAATGGTGCAACCCATCCTTGGTTCAAATTCCCAAGAACTGGCATGATAGGCACAACCATACCAGGATTTGCATTTCCCGCAGGCACTGCTTGAACAGAGGCTCCCCAGTTCATATTCATGGCTGCCGGTACCTGTCCAATCCAGGTCATGTTTGCATTTCCTGGCATCATGCCCCAGCCAGGATTTGGATTTTCAGGTCTGAATGTTGATGCAGAACTGATACTCTCTGGCTGCGCCACCCCCCAGGGTGCAGTAGGCACAGATGGAGGTTGCTCATTGGGTTGACCACCTTGAGTTTGAGCTCCCCAATAATGAGGTTGAGGCACAACTGAGGCACCTGCGCTTGAGAAACTTACAGCAGAATTTTGAACAGAAGATGTAACCCAATTACCATATCCCTGGGGATGCCCAGGTGCAGCAACAGAACCCTTTGTTTCTCCATACAATGAAGCAGCAGCAAAAGTATGAGCACCCACATTAGGGTTCTGAATATTAAGAGACTGAATGGACTGTACAGTAGTATTTTGTGAGCCAGGTTGGCTATTCATAACTGCTGCATGTTGTTCATTACTAGCAATAGACTGACTATGTTGCATTAGATTTGTTGGGCCTGCTGGGATACCCTCTCCAGAGTTGGGCACAGGACCAAAACCAGTATCAGAACTCACATTAGTTTCTGATTCCCTTACTTCAATAGAAGAAGAAATTCCACCTCTAGTGGAAACAGAAAGACCAGGAGAATTCTCAGAACCAAGGCTGTGATACAAATGAGGTCTCTCTCCATCTCGATTTTGCACGACAGCTCTTGAATGTATACTGTCAACTGTTGGCGAAGCTTTTTCAAACTTTCCTTCTAATGCATTAGTCAAAAGAATAGATTCGTCTTCCTTTTCTGTAATTCTCCATATTTTCAGATCAGCAGGGAAATATCCTTTATTGCTCCATTTACGCAACTGAACCATAGAAAATGGCCCCTGTGCTTTTCCAGAAGGATCCTTGTAATGCCACATCTTTTCTGTTTCATTGATCTTGACAGCAGTTTCTGCAGCCTTAACTGGGAGTGTAGCTGGAGAAGGTACAGATGCAATACCGGAAGATCTCGACACAACATCGCTATTCCATCCAATTGTTTCAGAATTGGTAGCAGAAACGAGCTTCTCCGGATTCTGAGATTCTGTCTCCCAGTCTTTCCCTTGACTCCATGCATTCTCGTTTACAATCTCACCAATATGTGCAGCATCTTGGCTTTTGCTAAAAATGTTTTTACTGGACAAACTTCTGTCTAATTCCCAATTTTTAGACTGAAGTTTCCCTGCACTCCCCCAACAATCTTTTGGAGAAAATTTGCTTCCAGGGGAAACTGGCCCGTTTCCTCTCCTGCTGAAACTGGAATCTCGTGACCTTTTATAAACATCTGCAGCAGCAGCAAAAATTTAAACCAATACTCCATAATATGAAATAGATAGACAAGAAGAAAGGGAAGTCATAAACCTTGTCTACTCTCATTTTCCCCATCATCATCCTCAGACTCATAGCTCGGATCCATTTTCGGATCTGCATGTATTTCTGGAACTTCATCAAGTCTACGACGACGTTCATCGGGAGTCTTTAAAAGCTGCAGTTTCTCCACACATTCTCTAAGCGTAATCATTAGTTAAGGCCTATAGCACCAGCTGGAACTTAAGAAGATATCAACTATTCAGCTGAACTTGCATGAATAACATCCCCATCATAATCATAAGTACATGCAAATGCTGATTTCAAAAAAGACAAGAAGTTGGGAGGGTAGGTGAGCTTCTAGGGGTTTCATCTTCTGTTGTCTAGGATGGTCCCTCCATACTTTATCTGGGAAGAAAAAAACAATGTGCAAAGTCTAAAACTCTAGGTCAGACAGAGCAGAGATAAATGGAATGAGTAGCAGTAAACACCCATCCCATGCAAATAATAATTCAAAAAGAAAAAAGAATGCCCTGAATTAATGCAAGATTTTCGGAACCACGTGATTCAGTGTCTGAATCATATAATGCAGACACTCTCATGACAAGACAAAGGAAATATGGTCAACTGGTCACAGTAATGCACTTTGGACCTAACAATCCTGCCCTGCAAGAAAGGGAATACAAAACGAAGAAGTCGTACAGGAAGCATCCATATTTGTTAAATTATGTCAAATTGAAGAGCATAATTATCTATTCGTTTGATAAATACGAGAACATAATAGACTTTACATAAGTGATCACTTAAAGAAAGAGTGAGAAAATATTACTAATATTAATGATAAAGGATATTCCTTTTTACGCCCTTTCTCGCTAGCTCGATCACGAAGATGACTAAGCCGCAGGATCTCCGATTCCAGCCACTGCAATTCAGCACAGATAATCAGGCATGATATATTAGAATAATTTTGAAAACCATATCAGATAATGACGGCTCTGAAAATAAGAGACAGGACAGAGAATTGAGAGAAAATGTGATATAAATGTCTTACACTTATATAAGCCCATTACTCTAGTACATCTTATCAATCAATATATAGCTGCCGAACAATCTAAATTTAGCTAACAGATGCAATCTATGGAATAGAACTGCTAACTAGAATGATTACGTTCACAGATAGAGGAGAGGGAATAGCTATCCTAAAAAAGAGTCTTCATCTCCCCATGCAATTTAACTAGACTTGTACATACCCAGAAAAAAAGAAGAAGAGAAACACCTCTCATACCCAGATGATCAACAAGAGAAATTCTAAGAAGACTGGTCACTCTGGTGTTGCTAAATTTCCTAATCATTGTTACAGCCTAGAGAACTTAACTCCAAATGTTTAAATGGCACCATTGAACATCAGGAGAGTGTAATAACAACAGCTATATATTGGCCGATGAGGCTTAACAAGAAGAAACCTCTCCAAAACCTCATGATGTTAATGTTTCAAACACTAAATTTCAAAGAAGTTACTATAAATTCCCTTTTTAACTCATAATATCGTTTTTTACAAAGTCCTTGTTTCACTACGTAAGCCTCTCCAACACTCAATCAGCAAAGTGCTGACTGCCAACACTATTAGGTCCTTTGGCATAATTACAGTTACACGAACCTCTGTTTCATGTAAATTTATCAGGCACTGGAAGTCAAAAACAAAGAGCATACTTGAGGACTAGTGCAAAACTTTCCTTCAAGGTGACTCACAAAGATTATATATGCATTTGCAGAGGGAGGGAGGGGCTAGAGGGAGATGGCAAGCGCACGAGAGAAAGAGAGAGAAAGCCATCGTCCAAGATTTGATAAAAGCTATAGAAAAAAAAAAGCGAGAAGTGAAAATGTCCACTGTCATGTGCCAAAGGGGACTGCTTATAACTCTGCAATAACTTACCTTCAACCCATTTTGTTACAATAACCCATTTATGATACTGGTACCACCTTATATCTAAAAATAAATGCATACTGGTAAAAGTAATAAAAAGAAAGCACTTCAGCTTACATCATCAACTCTAGAAGCCTGTATTTCCACGGCTTTGTCAAGAACATCACGCTGTAATTGTGACGATCTATCAGCAACACGAGAATTAAGGACAAAGTTATAGTAACCATATATTGTCACAATCAATTCCGGTCTTACCACCGTTAGTCTATTGATCAGTCCACACCTTATACTTTGGCGTAAACGCTTGCATTCTTCCTGACAATTGAAAGTAGATGCATGTGAACAGCTAGATCAGAAGACATCAATTTAGCTTTTTCATCAAGCGAGATAAGTGAAAATATTAATGATGCTTCAGATGAGCAATATTGATGATGCAATGGCACTTGTTGTAGGATAAAATTCCATCAGGTATCATGAGCATGCCAAATATGGACTATATAAACCCTTGGATCTGATACTCATACTCAAAAGCCAACCAACACCTAAATGCAGTTGGCAAAGCTTGCAGGCTGCAACAAAATCCCAAAAGTGTTTTATTCCCTCCTTTTCTTGTCTTTTCCCTTACCGCAAGAATTGTTTCAGTAAATTCTACTTAAATTAAGTAGCTCATGAATAGCAATTCAATCACCTCAGTAAAATCTTGATTTGAGACAGTATCAATTGATACAGCCTCTGTCTTGTTCAGATTTAGGATATCCAACACAATATCAGTTGTCCTCTTGCCAAGTTTGTAGGGTTCAGCAGCTTTGCTTGTACCTGCAACAAGAAGACTCTTGTTTGTGATAGAAAGAGATGAAAGAGGCTCAAGTACAATTTCGGACACATAGTGACAACAGAGAAATCAAAAATGTCCAAACTAGCAATATTAGAAGAACTATAATAATTACCAACGACTTGCACCAGCCTATAGAGGTCTTGCTTCTGTGCACTACAAGAAATTCGTATTCTTACAAACGTCCCAAAAACCTTTTCATGAAAATTGTCAATCTCTTCAAGTAGGTCCTCTATCAACTTCCGACGTAAGTAAATTAAGCTAATGTTGTGCACATTAATAGCTGCACAGTCTTCAAGATTTGATTGAGGTCCCCTTCTTTCGCCTTTCTTATGTTTACGTTTCCCATCTTTGACTCCACTAGTAAGAGTGTCAGCATTTCCATCAGTTTCAAAGTGATCGACTTCCGTATCAACTATACTGCCTTGAACATCATCTATCTGAGAATCCTCTTTCATAAGAAAATGAGACTCGAGCAGTTTTAACATCTCAAAATGCCCAATCCGTGGTTTTCCAAATAGTCTTTCAAGTCTTGAATCACATATAATTTGGCTTTTCCGACGAGGATCACGAAGTTTTTTTGTTTTGATGTAATCAAGCAACAGAGCTTGCACATCAAATTGAGAAATAACAGAAGCGTCACCATTTTTCATGTGCTTAACAAATTCAAGCAGCTCTTTTGATGCCCATTCAGTGGTGCCAGCTGTAGAGAAGCCTTCACTTCCACTAACAGCAGCTGCACTGGTTGAATCCTCTTCGTTTCTGAGTGACTGTGCTCGTCTTTTTAAGCTTCTTCTTTTAGCTTTACTGGCTTCCAAGGTTTCAAATGAATCATCTGAACCTGAAGCTCCATCATCATTGTTGTCATACTGAGGATCAGCCAACTCATGTTTATTAGCAGATTCATCAGACCCCTTCCAAGGACTTTTCGCATTGGCAATTTCTTCTGAAGATAAAGATAGCCTCATTTTTAAATCAACAAAGTAATCCTTGAACAGATACTCCCAGCAACTCTTGTCATCAAAATCTACTGGTGCCTGGGCTAGCAAAGAGCAAAATTTTTAACATAGCATGGAAAGTAAAGAAATAGTAAAAATAAATTGTACAAAAGGATTTCATCTGTTGAGTAGAGTTTGCATTTTACTTTTAACTATTTAGAGCAGCTCAATCTAGATGGTTCTAATAGAATATATTATAACCAAACATCCCAGGAAGAGAGCTAGGTACAGGAGTACATACATCCTTGTCTCCCAGCCCATTGCTTTCTATTAGCTTGACAGTTCTCATGCAGGTCTTACAAAAGCCTTTGTTTCCCCTAACACACAGGATAACAGCATTTTTTATACACCGCTTGCATAACGAAAATGGACATGTATAGCACATGTAGTAAGCCTTTTTCTCACAATTGCTACATTGATGCCAACCTGAACCGAAAATAAACAATGAGCAAGATAAAGCAATAGAAAAGCAAGTAAATCCAGCATTATCAAAAGCTACAGTAAATCAAAAATATAAAAGCAGTAAAAATCCACAAAAATACAAATGGGGAACTATTGAAATTAGGAAGTATTGATATTAAGATGGTTTCCCATGATAAAAGCTTTTCAGTTCTGGGTTCTGGCAGCGTGTTTAATCCCTACATCCAAAAGCTTGAGAGTTGAGACTTCAATAAAGTCAAGAAAAATGAAAAACCATGAAGCAGAAGGAAGAAGAAAGTAATGCATCTAGAGAGGCATTTAATATTCCCAAAACTTATCATCTTTCTTATCAAGAACTCAAAAAAAAACCATTGATTGACTACTGTAAGCAAAAATAAAATGCTCCCAATAACAGTACTACATCGATACCTCTAGTTTAGTTAAATTTTAGAGAACTCTAGCTCAGCTTAATATTATTGAAATAACCTCCCTAAAAGAGATAGGATATTAAGTAGCACCCAAGGTTCCCTAACAAATTAGGTTTATCCATACACTTTATATCAGTTAAGATGTCCCGCATTGGTTGAAGGAATAGGTGGTTGTTTCCTTCTATGGACCTACGCAATCCTCACCTCATGAGCTAGCTTTTGAGGTTGAGTTAGGTCCAAGGTCGATTTTCTTCAAATTGTATCATTTATCAGAGTTAGACTCATCCTATTCTTGGTTTACCCAATGTTCGGTGCTCATGTTATATCGCCCTCGCTCCAATCCAGTCCTGGCTGTTCGGAGGGTTGTTAGAATGTCCCACATTGGTTTTGACTAATGGGTTATTGTCTCTTTATATGCTTATGAGCAACCATCATCTCTTTAGCTAACTTTTGAGGTTGAGTTAGGATATTAAGTAGCACCCAAAGTGCCCTAACAAATTAGGTTTATCCATACACTTTATATCAGTTAAGATGTCCGCATTGGTTGAAGGAATAGGTGGTTGTTTCCTTCTATGGACCTACGCAATCCTCACCTCATGAGCTAGCTTTTGAGGTTGAGTTAGGTCCAAGGTCGATTTTCTTCAAATTGTATCGCTTATCAGAGTTAGACTCATTCCTATTCTTGGTTTACCCAATGTTCGGTGCTCATGTTATATCGTCCTCGCTCCAATCCAATCCTGGCTGTTCGGAGGGTTGTTAGAATGTCCCACATTGGTTTTGACTAATGGGTTATTGTCTCTTTATATGCTTATGGGCAACCATCATCTCTTTAGCTAACTTTTGAGGTTGAGTTAGGATATTAAGTAGCACCTAAGGTGCCCTAACAAATTAGGTTTATCCATACACTTTATATCAGTTAAGATGTCCCACATTGGTTGAAGGAATAGGTGGTTGTTTCCTTCTATGGACCTACGCAATCCTCACCTCATGAGCTAGCAGACTCATTCCTATTCTTGGTTTACCCAATGTTCGGTGCTCATGTTATATCGTCCTCGCTCCAATCCAGTCCTGGCTGTTCGGAGGGTTGTTAGAATGTCCCACATTGGTTTTGACTAATGGGTTATTGTCTCTTTATATGCTTATGGGCAACCATCATCTCTTTAGCTAACTTTTGAGGTTGAGTTAGACCCAAGGTCCATTTTCTTAACAATATCATATAAAAAATCTGAAAAACCAGTTCTCAAATGACTATACCCACCTACTTTTGTTTCTTTCCCAGCCAGTTCCTCTCCTCCCACCTGGCCTTCTTTCTTCTCTCTACTGTTGGCATCTATAAAATCCATCCATTGACGTGGACCATAAACCCTTGTGATTCAGTCAACAGATTAATCAGTTCAAGTGGTCCACTTCTCCCTCTATGGCACTAGCACAAAGATCCTGCACTCTTCAACGTGTGCCCTTTAAACTGATTATAGCTAGATTGTATCATATTTACTGCTATCCTTTTGGTACTCAAGTCTTTGTGCTCGGTATATTAAACTGCATTTGCTATCCTTTTTTCTTTCCTTATTTTTTGAATAAGTAATGAAGATATTTTATTCCCAAAATGTGACAAGCTAGTGCTAACTGCTATACAAGTACAAAATCACCGAATTACAGAAACCTACATGTTACCTAGTACAGACCTAAGTTGCTCGGACACGGGTGCAGGTGTCCGATATGGGTGCGGATCTAGAGGTCGGATCTTTCGACATGTAAATTCTAAGATTCGATGATACGGATCCTAGTATGGATACGAGTGCGGGGATCCTGCTAAAAATAATTCAAATAATATAAAAATATATCTAAATTATGAGAAATTTTGTGGAATATTTATGTATAGCTTGTAAAGTGTGGACTTCTTTTTTATTTTCAAGTTGTAGATAAGTAAATGATTGATTTCCTAGATAAAATATGCTATTTTCTTCAAATTTATCCTAGTTTTGGTTCTGATTTCGGGAATCAAATTGTATCTCGTCTCGAATTTTTTCGTCCGTCCCGGTCAAAGTACACAAAATTGTTTGACCAGATCCGGTACGGATCCCATACTCACACCCATACTAGTGTCGTGTCGACACGGGTACGGCACCTAAACTGCCATGTCGGAGAAACTTAGGTACAGACAAGTATAGCACTTTTCCTACAAAGAAAACAAAATACATTCCACACACTAAACTGGTACTTCACCCCTTTCCTGCATAACCCATGCTGGAGGATGTGTGTATATGTCTTTCTCTCAAATCCTTGTAAGCAAAATCCTCCCCTTACCCTCATCTTCCTCCTAATTATCCTGTGTGAATCCTTTTTTTTCCGTCCACCTTGTTTACCTGCCTCCCTTCTTTTGTTTGCATTCTGTTCATGCTTCTCTCATTGTCTTCATCCTTACCAAGTTTTTCCATGCTTCTTGCCAGTTTCCACCCTCTCCTTTTTTCAATTTCGTCCAGAAAATCCCTCATACACAACTTATCACAATATGTGCCATAGTACAAGAACCTTTGCACAGTGGTAAGTGGTAACCATCAATATAAGCATAATGTGGCTTCCCACTAATGCCAATGGTGCAGCCCTTCAATCCTTATGACATTACCTGCTTCATTAATGATCTGTCAGTTCCTACTTCTAGGCGGGAATAGTGTTTGTCAAAGCAAAAGCGTAGAAGAGTGTCAAGTGTCAGCTAAGGCTTTAAGCTCAAAACGGAACTAGAGAGGAATAGATGGAAAAAAGAACATATATATACACACACACACACATACACACAGAGACAAATATACATATATGTGTGCGTGTGTATGTGTGTGTTGTGTGTTTGTGTGTGTACACAAACTATAAGCATAAACAACAGTTTGTATGGATCAAAAAATTAACCAGATTGCAATTAAGTGAATATGAAGTAAAATTCAAGTCAATCAATTTCGACCATTGTAAATCTTGGATAAAAAATTAAACAGATTGCAGTGAAGTGAAATATGAAGAAAAAATCATGTTAATCAAGTTCAAGTTCAACCCTTTAAAAACTAAATTCATACGCAGGCATAAGATTTTTTCCACGATGGTGATGTCCGGACTAGCTCATTAAATACCTACAACCTATGTTGCTCGGACTCTCCGGAAATGTTACTGGGTGCGTGTCGGATCCTCCAAAAATAGTGTATTTTTGGAAGATCCGACACGGGTGCGGCATCATTTTGGAGAGTCCGCGCAACATAGCCTACTACCTCCCAGTTCCCACTAGCACAGGTGTTGGGTAACTCGAACCAAAGTTTAGGCAGATGGGAAGAAATTACTTAGTATTTTTTGCGTCAGCTGGGATTTGAACCGAAGACCTCATGGTTCTCCTCCCACTTTATTGACCACTAGACCACACCCTTGGGCGCAATACGCAAACATACAGCTTTTCATTCATATTAGCGAGTAGTTTTCATATAATAGAATTTTAATTTCAAAATCCTACAATCCTATCCAGTGATGTTCCTAAATTATAGTTATACCGTTTCACCAACTATATTCATTGCACAGTGTTATCTTCTTCGAGAAAGAGCCATGTGAGTCGAGGCAAATGGATTGAAACATATTTAGTTCTTGCTTCCTATTTCAAACGGGTTGAAGATCAACACAAGGGAATTGTGTCCCTCTCCACTTCCCTTTCTCTATCACTTTCTATCAGAATAACATAATTACCCTTACCNCCCTTCCCCCCCCCCCCCCCCCTTTTTGTTTGGGGGGGATGGGTTGATAATAGAGAAATCTCCTAGGGCAATTAGCACACCTTTTCTACTTTACCTTCTCTTATTTTTCGTACTAAATTTTCAAATAATTAATTGTAAAGAAGATATTGAAGCAAAATAGTATTAAACGATACTTTGGTTAAACTTATCCAAAAAAACATGAGTTTGGTTTACAACAGACATCAACATATTGTATCACTTTCTATCAATACAATATGACTACCCTTACTCTCCCCCCTCTTCACCTTTACTTTGCTTTTTTTTCTTTGGGATAATTGAGAAATCCCCTCCCACACACACACACACACACACACACACACAAAAAAAAAAAAAAACCACACACACCCTTTCTACTGTACCTTCTCTAATTATTGGTACTAAATCTTCAATTTGTCATTTGTAAAGAAGAAATTGATGCAAACTGCTATTAAATGATGACTTTGATTTACTAGAGTATTGACATATTGTTCTAGCTCGGCAGAAACGAAATCCTTTTCCTCAGGATCCCACAAATATGTACTGTAGTAGTTATTTCAGATGATGAATTTCACTACTCTACAGCTTTAAGTCTAAGGAGAGGCTTGAAGGAATTCAAAAAGTGGAAGACATCAAAGCTGTATTCAAACTTCAAAAAGTCTGAAAGAAAACGAACCAACATGAGTAAATCGGCAATACATAAATTTTATCCACTAAATGAAGTCTTATGAGGAAAAAGACTACATATATGCACTTACCACAATTCCATCGACCTTTGGCAAGGAAAAACGCTTCGTCCCTATTAACGCAACAGGGATGATATGCTTTAGGACAGCCCCTAGAAATTAAAGACCACATAAAAAAGCAACACATGAGAAAATCCACAAAACAGAGAATGCAGAGCAAAATTATTAATCCCTTTGGTCCAACTTATATGACAGTATTTCCAAAATGTTATGGCATGTTTAAGATCACAAATTTCAAAGGTCTTCCTTTCTTTCTTAATCCATGCCGAGTAAAACTATGTCACATAAATTGAAACGCAGAAAGTAGTACTTAAAATGGATAAAATTCCATATGTAATCAAACTCACCTATGGTCACATAGCACCAAATCCCCGCCGTCAAAGCAAACGAAGCAAACGTCCTCTTCTGTGATCTTCCTACTTGAAGCTCTAGCTGCAGCCTTTGAATTTCCAGGACTCTTAGAATCCCTTCTCTTCCTCTTTCCTCCCAAGGATTTCCCTGACTCGACCGTATCAGTTTCAGTCTCCACTTCAGTATCCACATTAGTAGTCTCTTCCTCAACACCTATTGCTTCATCTTCCTCATCTACAAGGGCACCCTGTGAATCATCTAACGTCGAAACAGGTTCCACTTCTTCATGCTTTGTTGCATCCATTTCCACAGCTTTAGCTTCAATTGTTGATACATCTGTCTCTACAACCATCTCATCATTCTCCTCAACTTTATTCAAAATCAATTTCTCAGCATCATTATCAATATTAGAAGTCTCCCCGTCAACATCCGTCCCTTCAAAGCTACATTGTGCTTCTTCTCGCTTCTTTACATCCACTGTCCCATCTTGTGCTACCTCTATTGTAGCTTCAACAGTTGAAAAAACTCCCTGTCTCACTGCTTCACCATTCTCTTCATTTCTGGTTGCAACTCTTGCCACAGCATCAGGGCCAACGCTCTGAGAATTGTCTACTTCGTGCTTCAACTCAGTATCAGCATCAATTTCGGTCTCCGCCTCAGCACACATTGCTTCGTGAAGAACCTGTGAATCATCTAAAACAGAAGCAGCTTCTGTTTCTTCGCGCTTCTTCGCCTCCATAGTCCCATCTTTTGCCACCTCAGCAATTGAAACATCTCCCACTGTCACTGCTCCACCATTTTCTTGACTTCCAGTCGTACAACTACGCTCACAACTGCCTACTTCGCGATTCATCACGTCCATCAACTCGTCTTTCTTTAACTCTATTTTCGCTTCATCAACTGAAACATTTTCCTCTGCCACGGCTCCATCATTACCCTCAGTTTTACTCAAAACTACAGACTCTGCCCCGGCGGTAACATTTTCTTCTTCCGCCTCCACCTTCGATTCCACAAACGACATAACCACCTCCGTCACCACCGAACCTAACACAACAGCTTGTTCATCATTTTCGTCTGTAACCGCATTGTTAACGGCATTGAATTCCGTAACGGAATCGCATTTTTTCAATGATTTCTTATCAAATAGGGGTTGTTCGTTAACGTTATCCTCCAGCAAGGGTTTATTTACGTTCTTTTTATCGTCCTCCGCCATGGAAACTGAACTTTTATAAAACCCTAACCCTAGGTTTTAGCGCGCGTGAAACAGAAAATGCTGATGCGACATAAGAGGAAAATGGTAATCGTATACTCCAGAGTGATTCCATTGTATTTTATTGGAACGTGAAAGTTTATATAAGAACCGGCTTTCTGCACGGAGGGAATTTAATTGTGCCTAAATAATTTTTTATCGTACCACATCAGCTGCATACTAAGAAAATGGGCCCGGAACCAAAATGTGGTTCTCTTGGACTCAAAGTACATAAATAGATGGTAAAAAAAAGTTACATTTTTATGTATAATGCCACAATACCTAGCGTTATACATTAAGGGTAATCGCACCGTTAATGTATAATGTCAGATATTGTGGCGCTATACTGCAAAAGCTGACACGGCGCAGGTATAGCGCCACAATAACTGGCGCTATGCATAAATTTTTATATATAGCACCTGGTATTTTGGCGCTATACTCCTTTTCCCTGGCCCCACCAATAATTCTTGGCTTCAATGATTCAAAAGCGTATAGTGCCAACTTTTTGGGCGCTATATATATATATAAAAAAAATTCCCGGCTAGTCATTCCATATATAAAGAGGTTAGGATTGTATAGAAATCCATTCAAAAAAAATTTAACTCTTGTTGAAACGTTTATTGTTGTTAAATTCTCCAGCATTTTTTCATTATGTTTGAATAGCGTAGAATAAGAGTTTCATTATACTGGGGGGTGAGGTTGTGATGGAGAATAACTCCGTAGGCTACAGTTTACATGCTCAGTGTCATGTTAAATTGCCACTTACAATAGAGTACGATAAATAGATATCGTTGTTATGCAAAAAAATGAGTGTGAGGAAACGTTCAGTGATACTTAAAGTAACCGGAAGATATCTGTATTCCGTCACTCCGCAAGAGGTTGCTTTTTACTTAGAGTTTAACATCGACGATGATGAAACTTTGAGTGATTTTCTAAGAACTTCGGACGAATGCCGGGAATTTCTTATAATCACAATGTTGGAGATGTACGTGAAGGTCGAAAACGTTCCAAAAAACGAGGTTGTGCGTAGTAGAGATAACTCCCAGTCATCGGGTGGTTATTTTGGAGTAGTTTTTGCTGGACAGGTTATGGATGAAAGAGTTTTCCTTAATTTAAACTTATCACCGCCGGCGAATGAGCAGCGAGAAAATAATTTATACCCTGCTTTCCATAATTCACAAGACGAGTGGTAAACTTCAATTTTCATTTGTGTTAATTATGTATATTTTTGGCGTATTGAATTTGTATTAACGCTCATATATTTAATAGGGGGTACCGGTCGGATATGAATTTTACAAGTGCCCCATCCGGTAGTCATCACGTAATTGAAAACGTCCATCATGGAATTTTATCACATTACGACTTGTAAGTGAAGTGATATAGCCATATGGAAAGCATTTATTAATTCAGTAGCTTATATTTTTGTTGGTTGTGCAGTGAAAACGAGCAAGTTAAACCACCCGTACTCACTCAATTGACCGAAAACGACGTATTACATCGGGATCTAGCAGATGCACAGAGTGAGGAACAGAACCGTGATTACGATAACAATGCTGATGAATCCGAAGACGAGACACCCTTTCCTTGTGAGGATGGTGATGAGTAGGATGAGGAGGAAGGACCTGATTTGGAGAGAGAGACCCCTAGACGAAGAGTATACAAGTTCGAAGTGTCGTTTCATTCAAGGGGGATTCCTTACATTGATAACTTGCCAACCGTGCTGGATGTGAAAGCTCTCACAAGGGATTTTGATGAAATTCAGATAGCAATGTGGGATGAGTCTAGACCAACGATGCTTGCAAAGAGGATATTTTTTCCTGATAAAGTGCGCTTAAGTAGGGCTTATAAAATGCAAAACGTAAAAGAGTGTTGTGAGATGCAGGTATGAGAGTCAAGTCCGATGGTATACAAGGTTGTTTGTCGCAGGTGGTTTTGGCCATGTAATTGGATATTGTGTGCGACCAAGAAGAAGACATGTATGAGAAAGTGGGTAAATACATTCCCACCCACACATGCGAAATGGACACATTCAACGGGAATCACTTCAACTTGGATATTGACTTGATTTCTCTTGTACTTATTCCGCACCTTGAAGCATCCATAAGGTATACAATCAAAGAGTGTATTACATCAGTCCACCAGGAATATGGCCACCATTACGAAAAGAAAGGCATTTCTCGGGCGCAAACGAGCGTTTGAAATTGTCTACGGTAATTGGGATAAGTCATTTGCATCTCTGCCAAAATACATAGCCGCACTGCAACACTTTAACCCCAGGACAGTTGTTGAATGGAAGCTTGAGCAGAGTCCGGGAACACCAGAATACATATTCAATTACGTATTCTGGGTGTTTAAGCCAACAATTGATGGTTTTTCGCATTGCCGGGCCGTAATATCCATAGACGGAACTCATGTCTATGGCAAGTACAATATCAAGCTATTGATAGTCATGGCAGTGGATGCTAATGGACAGATATTTCCTCTAGCTTTTGCTGTTTGTGCCAATGAAAGCACAGAGACGTGGACGCTATTTTTGAACCACATGAAAGAGCACGTTGTCAAACAGCGTTCAGGTATTTGTCTAATATCTGATCGGCACGATGGTATATTAAGTTCTGTGGAGAACTTGTCTGCATGGCAAGAACCTTATGCATATCACCGTTATTGTGTGAGGCACTTAAAGGACAATTTCTAGAAGGCACATCCCAACAAGGATCTACATGATTTGATGTGGATGGCAGCAACAGACCACCAACAACATAAATTCCAGAGGCATATGGATTCTATCAGGCAAGAAGACGAGGCAGCCTATCGTTGGTTAATGCGACATGATCCTGAAAAGTGGACGTTGCATGCGGATGGTGGCAGACGATGGGGAATTCTTACTACAAACTTGTCAGAGTCCTTCAACAGGTTATTGAAGTCGGCAAGAGGATTGCTTGTCACAGCCATGGTGCGGATGTCGTTCAAGTAGATGGCGGAGAGGTTTGTTGAACGGTCTGCAGCTGCAACGGAATTGATGGAGAGGGGTGTTGAATTTATGCCAGTGCCTATGAAGAGATTTGAGAAATACAGACGACGAGCACATTGATATTCATTTTTGCAGTATGATAACGAAAGAGGCTTTTTTGAAGTTCACACCGCTATCCATAATAATCGGGGTAATAATGTATATATTGTAAATGAATCTGCAAGGTTATGCTCCTGTGGGAAATGGTCCATCTACTACATACCTTGCTCATATTCCATCAAGTGTTTTCAACGTGTTGGTTATGCGGAGACCAACTATGTTGATCAACAATATAGTGTTTCCAAGTACCTAAACACATATAGAGGTCAGTTGCAGCCAGTGGGTGCTGAGCATTATTGGCCTTCGGAACCATTTAAAATGGTGTGTAACAAGTCCTATTTGCGTAAAAGACAGGTGCAAAAGAGAACGCGTATACGGAACCAAATGGAATTGTGAAGCACAAAAGGAACGTAAAAAAATATAAACTGGAACTTGCGGAGGTGAAGGCAAAACTGAAAGAGGTAGAAGAAGAAAAAGAACAACTGGAAGAACGATTTAAGTGATGGGAGCGGAGATTAAATGGCAACTGGGGCTAAACATTGGCATGTATGTGTTTAGTGTATTTTTCATATTTCATGTATTTTTATTATGTTGGCCTGCTATGTTTGTGTTTGTGCTTGTGCTTGTGTTGTAGTAATGTTTTCCTTGTTTGTTGTACTAAATTTTATTTAAATTGAAGTGGAAGTTAAGTTTAAGTGCTTGTGTTAAGTTTAAGTGCTTGTGTTGTACTAAATTTTATTTTAATTGAAGTGGAAGTTAAGTTAAGTGCTTGTGTTGTTATATGAAACTATCAAACGAATGGAGAACTAAATAAAGTAATGGGCATATTCGATTAAATATTATTTTAATGTATACAAAAATATTATTTAAAACAAATAAAAAAAGGCCGAATTAATGTGTCCCGCATCCGGTGTGTCTCAATGCAGCCGCTGGTCTGAGGCGCATCCCCTCCTGCCCGGGTACGCTATCAGGATCATCATCATCAAATCGTTTCCTTATCGCCGGATGCGGCGCAGGATGACATGTATCGGTGGGGCTGTCAGATTCAGCAGAAGGCTACATAATAATATGAAACTTAGTATAGAAAAATAGATAACAATTCACAGCAATTTATATTGTCTTACCATAATCGTGTCTGGATCCTGAATGTAGTCATTTGTCGCAGCATCGCATGAAGCCTTAAAAAGGAAATTAATAAAGTTAAAAAAAAATAAGTTACAGTTAAAACAAATTCAAATTCAATACTAATAAACTCATACCAGCGCATGTGATGAGGAGCCATAACTCAATCGGCGCCCACTAGTAAAATCTCGGGTCGGTTGATCCTCATCAGTGGTATACGGGCCTGGGAAGTAAAAAATCTACCCCAATGCGCTCCTTGAATATCCGAGTCTGTGATCAATAATTGACCCGATGGGGTCACCTGCGAAGGCACTGGAGGAGGATAAATTCCAAGGCTGTAAGACGGCATGTCGGTCTCATGCATGCCACCTGCCATATCAGCAACAACATCATCAACAGGAGCCTCAACGTCCCCTTTCTGGGGACCACCTCCTCTCCGCCCACGACCACGTCGTCCGGTACCACCAGCTCGTCGGGCACCGCCAGCTCGTCAGGCACCACCAGCTCGTGGGATACCATGACCTCGCGGTACGTGGTTGGGTCCATATAATCAACCTCGTATGCCAAACGTTGATTCGATCGGGCTCGCTGCAGTGTCTGGGCAGCCACATCCATGAATCGACGACTATACTCCTGCATGACCACAGGATCATAGACATAACCCTGCATCTGCTTCCCCATACGATAGACGGTATGCAATCCAATCGCCTGCACAAAGTAAAAAATATAAACTACGTATTTGGCACTAAATTACAGGTATATAATTAATATTAACAGAAAACATACCAGGGCCTCGTGTCTCCCGACGTATGGGACGTACCGACCGTGTGCCTAATGAACTGGGTTCCCGATAAAAAGTCGGGAAATAGTGCGGTAC